TGGACCGAGTGCGGTGGGAGGTCTGCGGAGTGCTCCCGGGGCTCCGCCTCGGCTTCAGCACCTTCCGCGGTGGGCCCCCCGTCCACCTGGCCTTTATTCGGGGGTGGACAGAGCCCCCAACAGTGACACGTCGATTAGTGAATTGTCCGTTTTCGGTTCTCGAGATGGTGCCGTGGCCGTTATTTTGCAGGCTTACGCCCGCCAGGTTTGGGCCTCAGGTCGTTTTCACTAAACCACGTTTTACTAAAGGGGGGTCTGTCCATCCCCGATTTATGCCCTGGATCGCGCGGCACGGGAGAGGCCCGGCACCACGAGGCACCTGGACTCCTGCAAGCAGTACTACTTCAGGATGGCCTTCCGGCCCACGAGCAGCCCGCCCAGCCCCGCCCGCAGGGAGGCCCTCCTGAGCGGCCTCGGCGAGGCGGGCCGCTGCGACTCAGTCGGGCCTGTCCCCCTACAGGGGGGATTTTCGACGAAAAATAAAACATACCCCCCAAACAATCATAAGTGGTCAAAACATCGCCTGGAGACTATTTTTTGAGTATTTGGAGTGTGTATTGTTATTTATCGTCGAAAATACCCCTGTAGGGGGACAGGCCCGACATGACGCTGCGACCGCCCCGACCAGCAGCCACCGGCCACGGGGCGGGGCGCCTCGGAGGGCCTTCGGCCGCGGGCGCCCGCCCGCGCGCGGGCGCGGGCGCGGCCGCGGCCCACGGCGGCGGGCCCACGGCGGCGCTCGGCGCCCTCGGGGGCTGCCTGGAGGGGCTGCTGCCCAGCCGGCGTGCAGGCAGGCACGGGCCGACGCGGGGCTGAGCCGCGCGGGGTGGGCGGGGGGGGAGGCGCTTGGTATCGCTCGGACGTGTGCACTTTTCCTTCGGCGAGGAGCATCGAGGAGCATCCTGGATCATCCGGCGAAAAAACCACGCACGAAACCGAACAAAGCACAGGGAATGGACGTCCGAGCGATGGCCAGGAGGTGGCGGGGGCGTGGGCGGTTGTTGTGCGGCGGTGGTGGGTCGGTTCCCCCCTGCCTCTCTTCCTAGTCTCCAGCCGAGGAGGTGCACGTTGCAGGGCAGTAGCGCGCAGGCTGCGGGGGAGGCCCAGTTGTTCTCGCTGCAGTTCGCTTCGCCTCGAGGCAGATGGCCGCAGTCCGCGCTCGCCTTCCATCGCTTGAGATGGGCTCCAGTGCGGCGTGCTCGTGGGCTGATTTGTCGTCCGATTTCCCGTTGCCCCTGCGAGGGTGCCCATGTGGACAGGAGTCGGGCGCGGAAAAGAGGGGGGTGACGACTAGGGGGTGGATATCATGGCGGGGGCCATGATATTTCCCCAGATCTCATGGCGCCTCTTCTCATTTCATGACGTCCCTGGCCCCCCCCGCTGGGCCGCGCACATGCCGCCGGTCATGATTTGCACCCCCCCTCTTGGACACCCCCCTCTTGGCCGCTCCCGACAGGAGCGAGGCCTTCGCAGAGCAGAAGTCTCGGACTGCCCTCACAAGTTGGGCACGCGGCACGGATGCAGCACCGCGGACTCGATGGGGGGACGGACCGTCGGCTGATGCGGCGTGGGGGGGGGTTGTTCTTCCCGAGGAGTGGGTGCACCAGTGTCGTCCAGCGATGCCTGGTCTACGCATGGGTTCATGACCCTCTGTTGTCATCAGGTGGGCTCCAGCCATCGTGCGATGGCGCTTGGCTGGCTGTGCAGACATAGGGTTTCTGTAGTGCGGTCTGCAGAAGGCAATCGTTGATGCAGGGGCTCCTCCTCCTCCTCCTCCTCCTCCTCCTCCTCCTCCTCCTCCTCCTCCTCCTCCTCCACTCCCTCCTCCTCCTCCTCCTCCTCCTCCTCCTCCTCCCTCCCCCTCCTCCTCCTCCTCCTCCGCCCCCTCCTCCTCCTCCTCCTCCTCCTCCTCCTCCTCCTCCTCCTCCTCGCCTACGTGGGCCGCGCATAATAGGCGGGAGCGGAGCTTCAGGAGGTCCCTGCGCGGCGCCGCGGCGGGAGCACGAAGCCGCGCCCGGGAGGCCAACTGTCACGCGCCGCGCCGAAGCATCGGGGGGAGGCTGAGAGGGGCAGGGCGAACATTGACGCGTTCTCTTGGCATCGCTCGGACGTGTGCATTTTTTCTCGGCGAGAACCATCGAGGACCATCCTTGGGGAGGGGGGAGGGGGGAGGGCGAACATTGAAGGCATTCTGCTCACGAGGCCACCAAAAGACCCCCCAAAAGGCCCCCCCCCAGAGGCTTCCCCACAGGGGGCCCCCTGCCCCCCTGCCTGGAGGGCGAACATTTACCAGCCTGGAGCATATCCCTATCCCTATTCTGGGCATCTCCTCATCACGATGCCAATCTCAGGGAATTCCCTTATGTTTTGCGGGCGGATCCCTGAGATTGTCATCGCCTCTTGGCGTGTCGATCTTAGGGATAGGGATAAGTTCGAGGCTGGTAAAACATGGACGCGTTCTGCTCAAGAGACCACCACGAGACCCCCCGAGAGGCCCCCCCCCTCTCCAGAGGCCCCCCCCCCCTCAAGGGGCCCCCTGCCTGGAGAGAGACTGCCGCGAGAGGCACCCCCGGACGGCCCCCACGGCTCTCCAGTGAGGAGGCGCCGAGCGCCCCAGGAGCCTCCAAGAGCAGGAGGAGGAGGAGGAGGAGGAGGAGGAGGAGGAGGAGGAGGAGGAGGAGAGGAGAGGAGGAGGAGGAGGAGGAGGAGGAGAGGAGGAGGAGGAGGCGGAGGCGGAGGAGGAGGAGAGGAGGAGGAGGAGGAGGAGGAGGAGGAGGAGGAGGAGGAGGAGGAGGAGGAGGAGGGAGGAGGAGGAGGAGTCCCCCCCCTGGCATCGCTGCCCCCTCCGCGCGCAGACCTGCGCGGCGGCTCGGCGGGGGCAGCGCCTCGGCCGGCTCTGACGCGGCCCCTCGCGCGGGCGCCGTCCTGCGGCGCGGCGCGGCGAGCGCCGCGCGCGTGCGCGGCGCCCGCTCGGGAGCGCCAGTATTCCAAGCGAAGCGTGCACGGCGCCTGGGCGAGGGATCGTCGTGCTGGTCTTCGAGGTGTCTTGTAGCTATGCGGCGTCTCTGGCACCTCCCTCCGTTGCCAGTGATGGTGCCTGCCAAGACAGGTTTTGGAGGCGTTGGCGTTGATGTCAAAACAAAAAAGCCTGGGCGAGGACGAGGAATCGCCCGCTCGCGCGTCGCACGGATGAGCTGCGCGCCGCGCCGAGGGCGAGTCGCGGCGTGCGCCGCGCCGAGGCGGGAGCGCCGCTTCCGGGCGCCAGTCTGCGCGGCGGCCGAGGCGGCTCGCACGTCGGCGCGTCGGCGTGCAAAAGGGGGCGCCGCGGCCCAGCGAGAGTGCAGTGCTCGAGAGCGGTGCGCGCGGCGCCTCTCGCGCGCGATGTGCGCCGTGTCCCGTTCCCACCGCCGCGCTTGTTGCAACGCCGACTCCAAGCTGTCCACGCCGAGAGGAGAGGCGCCGACTTCGTGCTGCGTTCTAAAGGTAGGATGGGGCGTCCAGGACTGGCCTGCCATCGGCCGGCTCGGAAGGAAGGCGGGAGTGCGTCCTGCCCCTCTGCAGGGGAAGTGCTCCAAGATAGTCAAACATTGGTATGGGAACGGCACTTCTAGCACTTTTTTCAAATCATCTTTGGAGTTTGTTTGGGGGTACTTTTTCCGTCCAAGCTCCGCCTGCAGGGGGGCATGCCCGACCCAACGCCGGTAAGACGTGAGGACGTGAGCCGGGGGAGGACGATGGGCAGGAGTGCGAGGAGGGGTTAGGACGACGAGGTTGTGTCGGGGGAGCGTAAGACCCGGGCTTGCCAGGACTCGGGCTCGCCACCGTCTTTTGACGACCGCGCCCCGGATTTTGGCGAGGAGTTTCGTGGGATGTCCTGCAGCGGGAGGCCTCGTCAAAATGCAGGCTCGGCCTCGTCATTTTTTTGACGACCTCGTCGGGGATTTCCGAGTCCCCCGTACCCGGGTCTTACGTCTCCCCGATAAGTGTTTCACAGCTTGCATTGGATTTCCCTTAGGTTTTCGCTACGAAATCGACGTTCCACTTATGGACAAGAGGGGCCTCGTTCCTTAAATCGGGGTTCCTTAGGTCGACGCCTCGACTGTACGCTACGACCTCGTCGGGGATTTCCGAGTCCCCCGTGCCCGGGTCGTACGTCCCCCCTGATTGGTGGCAGAGCGGCGGCGGAGAGAAGGAGAGAGCGAGGAGGAGCAGGGCGGCTTTGCTCCTCGCGCTGCGCGGATGAGCTCCCGCAGCCGTGGAAGGAGCTGCTGCGTTCAGGGTGATCGGGTTTCCCTTAATAGGGCGACGAAGTCTATACATATCCACTGCTCCCTCGCCAGGCCCATCGTGAGCCCGGCAGCGGTGTATACGCGAGGCCCTCCTGGCTTGGCCAGGGGGGCGTATACACAGCTCCTGGGTTCGGGTGCGGACAGAACCCCCAACAGTGACACGTCGATCAGTGAATTGTCCGTTTTCGGCTCTCGAGAGGGCGCCGCGGCCGTTGTTTACCAGGCTTGCGCCCGCCAGGTTTGGGCCTCAGGTCGTTCTCACTAAACCACGTTTTACTAAAGGGGGGTCTGTCCATCCCCGACTCAGGTGCACCTCGCGCGCGGGTTCTCAGGGTCTGGGTTTCTTGCGAGGGTTTCTTGCGGCCACGCCCGCACTGTACATCACTTCGGGCTCGGAGAGCTGCCGCGGGACAGCTTCCGAATGGACTACGCCAGGAGGGAGGAGCGGGCGGACGATGAGGGGAGGGCATTGTTTGTGGTGTCGCTCGTGGAGGAGACGTGATGGGCAGGGGGAGGATCCTGACAAGCATGAGTGAGGCGTGAGGAGGAGTTTTGGTCAAGGCGTATGAGGCGTGTATCGATAAGTCGGCGGCTCGTGGTGCTGCGCAGAGCTTCTGTTCAGCTGCTCGTGTTTCTCCCGCATGCCCAAAGCTGGAGGGAGGTCGCTGGGGAGCACCGGAGCGCCTCGTCACAGCCCGTGCCTTTCCCCAGGTCTTCGACTGGCTGATCGACTGGGCCGCTGCTCGGTCGTACGTGGAGGCGCGTGGTGATGGTGTGTGTGCGCGTGTGACAGAATCCAATGGCGCCCTCGAGGGCGCGAAGTTATTCGCGCTTCGTGGTTCGGCTCCGATTCCGCCCCCTCCTTCTCTTCTCTCCTGGGAGGCGGCGCGAGAGCGCGAAGTTCTTCGCGCTTCGCGCAGCACGAAGCGCGAAGGTGGGAGCCCTTGGAATCGCTCGGACGTGTGCATTTTCTTCTCGGTGAGAACCATCGAGGACCATCCTGGACCATCGCGCAAAAAAACAGACGCACGAAACCGAAACATGCACAGGAAATGGGCGTCCGAGCGACGGCAAGCCTTGGAATCGGGCGGGGCTCGGACCAGGGTAGAAGTCGCTCCAGAGCGTCCCGGAGCGCTCCCGAGGCGTTCCCGAGAGCTCTGGGTCGGCCGTGGCGCCCGACCGATGCGTGCGGAGCTGCCCGACCTCGGAGCTCTCCAGTCTGTCCTGGTCCGATGCCGTCCTGGTCCTGGTATCGTCTTACCTTGGCATCGCTCGGACGTGTGCATTTTTTCTCGGCGAGAACCATCGAGGACCATCCTGGACCATCGAGCAAAACCAAACACGCACGAAACCGACAAATACACGGGAAATGGACGTCCGGCCGACGGCACGGGTCCTGGCATCGTCTTACGTCAAGGGAGGAAAAAACAACCTGGACCAGACAATTGGTGTTTACTAAACGGCCCTGGGCGTTTACTAAACGGCCTTGCCCTGTTCGGTGGTTCCTTCAATGGGGGCGTTTAGTAAACGGCCTCGCTTGTTTGATCTCTATTCTAGGAAAGCAAGAGGACGAGTCCAACAGCGAAGTGCCTGAGGATGGGTAGGGTCACAGTCGAGACGGACGGCAAGACGGGACTCTGCGGATTCGCAAGCGCCCCCGCTGCCTCACTGGCCTTCCAGCTGGGTGGCGCAAGGTTTCGAGGTTTCGGTGGCTGGCGACGGTGCAGTGACTGCACCGTCGGGTAAGCTACTGGGGATCGCACGGTTGTGGGACTTGGGTCGTTCTCCGAGGATGTCTCGGGCGATTGTGGCCTCCAGGGTCCCCAAACCGTGCGGCGACGGACCGTGCGGTGAGGTTCTTCGAGACTTCGAGGTCGCCGCGCGGTCTGTGGCCGCACCGTTTTGGGACCTCCAAGTGATGCTGCGGGAGGCGCGGCGACGTCCCCGCGGGCCCGTCTTCTCTGGTTAGATCTGGACGACTCTCGATGGAGCACGCGCAGGGTGCGTGCCACCGCGTGCGCCGCTGTGGGCGCGTTGGCCTCTTTCGCTGCTCGGGCCAGCTGGGCACTTCTTGACGATCGCTGCGCTGCCTAGCCGCGGGGCACGTCCAAGGCGAGGTCCTCTCTTCGGACGTCTTTCTGTGCAGTCTGTGGGTTTCGGCACGCCCAGCCTCCTCGCCGTGGTGCATTCGTTGGTGGTTTGCGCAGTGTCCTCGGCCTGGCCTGAGCTTTGCTACATCTGAGGCGGCGATAGCAGTTTCCGCAGCTTCTGGTCTGGGCTGAAGCGTGTCGGACCCTTGTTTACAGACATCACTTAGATTTTCCCGTTGTCTCTCGCATAGCCACGCGCGAGAGCCATCCTAGAGTTGGTTATGTCGCTTGGACCTGCGAGCGGCGACTTTTCTCCTATTCGGCTACGGGCCTTGGGAGTCTTCAACAGTCGGCTCCACGACATTCCTCAGTAAAGCGGCCAGAGGTACCGCTTGCACGAGTGCTATGAGCAACCTAGCCTTGGAGGGGTATCCTTGCGCTCTTCGTCCTTGGGCTCTCAACCTTCGAATGCTTTTCGTTTTGGTTATCTTCATGGGACATCTGGGCCACCAGCGAAGAGGCTAGTTTTCTTGACCCGCGCTCTTGTGGCCATGCTTCGACTGTAGAGACACAGACGGAGGTGGACTCAGGCACGAAGCAGGCAGGGCGAGCTGCGGAGCACGAACCTTCACAAAAGTCGTGGTCGCGCGCTTCTGTGCGCGGGGGAGGCCGCAAAGCCATGCACGCATACAGTCGGGGCCCTGAAGAAGGAACCCTTTTCGTTGGGGAGGGGCTCAGTGTTCCTTGCTTGTTCTGCAGTGTACCTTCGGTTCTCCCGAGGTTCCCCATGGGAAAATCGAAGTTCAACTTATGGAAGAAAGGGGCCTCGTTCCTTATTCAGGGTTCCTTAGGTCAGCGCCCCGACTGTATCTGCTGACGTCCTGGGCAGTCGAGTGGAACAAGCACAAGTGGAGCCTGAGGAAATCCGCGCGGACCTGCGGAGGTCCGCGCTGGGGCCCCCTGGCGGCTCCTCCAGCGCCGCTCCCGGGCGCGCTCCGCGCGCCCTGGATGGGGGGCCCAGTGCCGACGCGGGCAGTCCGCGCGGACCTCCGAGTTTTTATGCGCATGCCCTGGTTTGTTCCCCTGCGGTTGGCTGGAGGGGCAGCGATCCTCGATCGCAGATGTGAGGACTGGGAGTGGGCCGCAGAGGCATGTTGTTTGCGCAGGTCGGGGGGAACTGGTCAGGGGCCCAGGCGGAGAGGATGGGACGTGACGAGGAGGAGGAGGAGGAGGAGGAGGAGGAGGCGGAGGAGGAGGAGGAGGATGATGATGATGATGACGATGACGATGCTGATGCTGATGCTGATGATGATGATGATGATGATGCTGATGAGGATGATGATGATGATGATGATGATGATGATGCTGATGCTGATGCTGCTGATGATGATGATGATGATGCTGATGATGATGATGATGCTGATGCTGATGCTGATGCTGATGATGATGATGATGGTGGTGGTGGTGGTGGTGGTGATGATGCTGATGATGATGATGATGATGAGATGATGATGATGATGATGATGATGATGATGATGATGATGATGATGATGATGATGATGCTGATGATGATGATGATGATGATGATGATGATGATGATGATGATGATGATGATGATGATGATGATGATGATGATGATGATGATGATGATGATGATGATGATGATGATGATGAGGATGATGATGATGATGGATGATGATGGAGGAGGAGGAGGAGGAGAAGGAGTTGCCATATCGCGAAACATCGCATCGCGACCGGAGCCCTAGACCCCATCTGTCTGCAGCATTTTTCCAGCAAGATCGATCTTTGAGGGTCCCGGGGCGCCGAAGCCAGGCGAAAGCTCCTGGAGCTACGCAAGTCGCGACGCCCAGGCCTCAGGGGAGGAGGAGGAAGGGGATATATATATAGAGAGAGAGAGAGAGAGAGAGAGAGAATGAGAGAGAATGAGAGAGAATGAGAGAGAGAGAGAGAGAGAGAGCAGACGGAGGGCGGGAGAGATGGCAGTCGGTGGTGGTCCGACCGAGCCCCGAGGGTGAAGTCGAGGGAGGAAAAAGGGGATCGGCCCCAGGGCCTGATCGGGCGCGGCGCGGACGCCGCGGTCCTGCACCTCGGCTGCGGCAACTCGACCTTCCCCGAGGAGATGCACGACGCCGGCGCCGAGAGAGGGGGAGAGAGGGTTCAGAGCAGCGTTGGGGTGAGGAGCAACGCGGGAGGTTTTCGCGCGTCCTCGGCGGCTTTTCGGCTGTTCTTCGGCCTGGGGATGCTCTCCAGCAGCTGCGCCTGGGCGAGAGCGTCCTGGGGGTGCCCAGATCGTCGCGGACGGCCGCCGGAGAGCCGAGTTGTGGCCCGAGAGCCAGGGAGCGTCGGCAGGGGGGGACAGGCTCAGGGGTGATGATGCATCGACCCCTCCTCCCCCTCCTCCGCCCCCTGCTCCTCCTCCCCCTCCTCCCCCTCCTCCTCCTCCTTCTCCTTCTCCTCCTCCTCCTCCTCCTCCTCCTCCTCCTCCTCCTCCTCCTCCTCCTCCTCCTCCTCCTCCTCCTCCTCCTCCTCCTCCTCCTCCTCCTCCTCCTCCTCCCCCAATCCCCAAACATTGCCGATAGGGGCCCGACAGCCCGTCCCGCCCAGAAGCGTACGCGTTCGCTATCGTGGGCCTGTCGTCGATCTGTCGGCGATGCGTCGCCGATTCCAGGCCGAGGCTTCCCTCCCTGAGCTGGTTCCCGCCCAGCGTTCTCCTCTGAGAGGGCACGATCTGATCGCTTGTCCTTGCTCTTGCTTCTGCGTAGCCATGTCAAGCCTTTCTCTTTCTCTTGCTTCTTGGCATCGCTCGGACGTGTGCATTTTTCCATTGGCGAGGACAATTGAGGAGCATCCTTGATCGTTTGGCGAAGAACCACGCACGAAACCAAAAAACACAGGGAATGGACGTCCGAGCGATGGCGAGGCTTCTGCATCGCCATGTCAGGCACTGCCTCAGCCGTGGCCGCAGGTCGTTGCCGCAGCCGTCCAGGGCGGCAGGCGTCCTCTCCGAGCGCCCGAGGCGCAGAGGCCCTCGTGCCGGGCTCCGGGCCGCCCAGCGGTGGCCCGAGCAGCTGGGGCCTCTGGACGACCGAAATGGGGACGGAAAGAATGGGCACACAATGCCCACCAACGGTTCCTGTTCCTCTTGAGCAGGACTCGCTGTCCGCGCCGCCGCGGCCTGTGCTCATTTGAGACAGAAGGCCGCCTGCCCAACAGCCGCCGCTGTTGGTTCGGGACAGCATCTGCTGTTGGGCATTGTGCCCATTGTTTCCGTGCCCGTTTCGGGCGTCCAAAGGGCCGGAGGGTCTGGTCGACTCGCCGATGCCTCGGGCGATGCATCGGTAGTGCGCGTAAGGAGAGACCCTTTCGACCTCTTCTTTCGGGCCCCCGTCCGTTTCTCCCCCCTCGTACCTCGCCGGCCCCTTCAACGGCGATCGGCCCATTTTCGGAATGGTCCCCTCCTGCGGTACCAGACGGCGCCTGCATGAGGGGGCCAATGGCAGCACCCGTGAGGACCTCATGCCATCAGGGTAGGATAGGATAGGGGTCCCTATCGCGCCCCGATCCTCCGACCCCATCTAGTTACATTCGAGTCACATCATTCGGAGGAGCAGCTCTCCAAAGAGGAGGTGGGGCCGGAGGATTTGGCCGCATCGCCGATGCACGGGTGATGTGTTGGTAATGCGTGTAAGGAGGGACCCAGGGTCTTGATCGTGCCCCGATCCTCCGACACCATCTAGTTGCAGTCAAGCCACATCATTCGGAGGAGCAGCTCTCCAAAGGCGCCCTCGCAGCATTGCCTCTCGGCCTGTCTTGGCCTTCAGCTGTGGGCGCTTGGCTTCCACCTTCGGCTTGTGTCTGGGCGTCCAGGAGCTTGGCATCTCTGACCGCGCATCTCTCTGATCCTGTCGCGCTGTACTCCAGCCCCACCTGGGTGGCTTGAAGATGGACGCGCTGCTCCCGTGCGGTCTTGCCATCGCCGGCGGCCTCCCAGGGAAGGGGGGAAGGAACACTTGGCATCGCTCGGACGTGTGCATTTTTCCTTCGGCGAGGACCATCGAGGAGCATCCTTGATCATTTGGCGAAAGAACCACGCACGAAACCGACAAAAACACAGGGA